TAGTTTTACTTACGAAAACGCTTGTTGAGGAAATGTTAGAAAATTACCACTAAATTTTAAATTTATTATAGTTACCACGCATATAAGTCGAGAGGGTGGCTGCTGGAAGACCCTATGTCTGGCAACAGGACACTGCACCATGCCACAGGAGAAGCCAGTCATGGCTGTCAGACAATTTCTGCAACCACATGATCCCTTACATCTTCTATCTAAGTCCCCAGACTGCAACCGCCTTGATTATAATGTGTGGGGCGCAGTTGAGCAAGAGACTAACAAAACTCTTTGTAAGACCAAAGATGAACTGAAGGCAAGGATTATAGCAGCGTTCACCAACTTAAACAAAGAGACCATCCAGAAGATTTGCAGGAGATTCTGAAGAAGTCTGGAGGCCATGGTTGAAACCAATGGCGATTTTATTGAATAAATTTACTCTTTAAGAGTTTAAGATATTTTTGTGTTATTTTGTTAAATATATCTATTAAAATGAGATGTCAGTGTTTTTTTCTTCATTTTTATGTCATTTAGACGACAATTTATCCATCTCTCCCTATATACTCATATATATATATATATATATATATATGCTGGCCAAAATCTTAAGGCCAATGAACATAAAGAAAAATATACCTTTTGCATTGTTAAGGCTCAACTACTTATTTGAATACAGCTTCGAAAAATGAACATAAAAATAAAAACATGACACTTTTTTAGTATTTAATAGGGAAATTTGAATACTGGGAAATTAGGCTAAATATTAACTGGTCAATATTTAAAAGAAGCTTTAATTGGTAAATACATAATAAAATTTAGTCATTTGTGTTCTGGCATGAGTGTGTCGGAGTTAGCTCCGCCTTAATTCCCTAATTGTTCACTAGGGGTCGCACTCCCTACAGTATAAATACTGAGTAACTTCTTGCCTCGTTCTCTTTTCTACTTTGCATTTCAGCGGACACATCTAAAAATGTAATTTCTCGTAGAAATTCGCGTTTTGCCCACTTATGGGAAAACGCCATGAAACACACACACACGTACATACGAACATTCACCAAAGTACAAACACTTTACGTTCACACACAAACACAAATGTTGATGTCTTTGTCATTTGTAAATTTGTTGTTTAATATACATATATTTCATGTGCAACAATGTCTTGTGGTTATTCTTCTTGCATGAGTCCTGTTTTCTTATCAAAGCTAAATTAATGTGGTGAAGTCGGCCACAAGTGCAGTCAGCATTTATCACCGTTATCTCCTGCGTTACATTAGGCAAAAAACGTTTGAACGTGGCAGTATTGTCGAGATGCAAAAAGCAAGGTCTCTCTCAACGTGTCATCGCTGGTGAGATTGGGCATAGTAAAAGTGCTGTTGAAAATTTTTAAATGATCCTGAGAAATACGGAACAAGGATTTAAAGTGGTCGGCCCAAAACAATTTTGTCTGCGTTGAACATGAAGATTCAACGAGTTGTCCGGCAAGACACCAGCTGATCATCGAACCAGATTAAGGCCCTTACGGACGCAGAATGCAGCTCAAGAACAATAAGACGGCATCTTCGAGAGAAAGGCTTTAAAAACCGTAAACGTCTTCAAAGTCTACGCTTCCTTCCACATGGGACATAGAAAAGTGGGAAAAGGTTTTGTTCACTGATAAGAAAAAATTAAACATGGATGGTTCAGATGGCTTCTAACGTTAATGGAACGATATGGATATCCCACCTACACGACACAGTTGAGGAGGTTCTCTCATGCTCTGGGGTGCTATCTCCTTCCAAGGAATAATGGAACTTCAGGTTATACAGCGGCGTCAAACCGCGGCTGGTTACAATGGCATGTTGGAGAGAATATCCTTATTGACAGAAGACTATAGCTTGTTTGGAGATGACTGGATTTTTCAACAGGACAACGCTGCAATCCATAATGCACGCAGGGCGAAGGACTTTTTTATGGCGAATAACGTGTTTCTTTTGAGCCATCCAGCGTGTTCGTCAAATGGAAGTCTATAGAAATGGACGTCAATTCCAAACAGTGCATGACCTTCAGCATCTGTCTATATTTCTGAGATGAGGTATTATGTACACTATTTACATTATTCGGACTATTATCCTCATCCTTGTCGCTATATTTATTACAACGTTTCGGCCTTTCAGTATCTGTCTATATTTCTGAGATGAGGTATTATGTACACTATTTACATTATTCGAACTATTGTTCTCATGTTTGTCGCCATATTTATTACAACGTTTCGGCCGTTGTACGCTTCGGCTTTCTTCAGGTGGTTGGAATGTCGAACCCTTTATTTTGCTAACAGTGAGCGAAATAAAGGGTTCAGTTCGGCCGAAACGTTGTAATAAATATGGCGACAAAGATAAGGACAATAGTCCGAATAGTATAAAAAGAGTGCATGACTTTCGTGAAGACATCTTCAACATTTGGAATAACATTCTAGCCATCCTTCTGCAGACGATTATATCGACCAGGCCAAAACGAATTTTTGAAGTTGTTCACGATGACGAACATACAACTCACTACTGAGACGTCTTATTGGGTATTTTCTATTCTGTTTAGGTATGGTCTTAAACTTTTGACCAGCTATTTAGCCTAATTTCCCAGTATTAAAATTTTCCATATTAAATGCATAGTTTTTAATTTTTCCTTTTCTTATTTTCATTTTTCGAAGCTGTAGTGAAATAAGTGTTTGAGTCTAACAACGCAAACGGTGTATTTTTTCTTTATTTTCATTCGCCTTAAGATTTTGTCCAGCAGTGTATATAGGTACCTCCACGAAAAGGCTAAAATATTAGCATACCGTGATGAAAACATGCTCCAAAAACATAGTTTTATCGTCAAAATCTTTGTTATTATTAAGAGGAAGGATCAAAGTATTTTTTATTATTTAATTATTTTTTACTCCTTTTTTAGAACATTCGAAATTTTTATTAAAAATTTCTTTTTTCTTCGTCATCGGTTGTACTAACTTTTAGCATAAAAAAATTTTGCGGTGACGTATACATTAATTTGGAAATTCTTGCAAAAATCAAATAATTGTCAGATTTTAATGAAATTTTCAGAACTTATTCACAAATGAATAAAATTATTTTTTTTAAATTTCTCTATTAGAAAATCTTGGTAAAAATATTTTTTACATCTGTTTCAGCCCTTTACTTAATTTTAAAAATTACTTAAAACTTGAGAAATTCATCGAAATAATTTTTAGTGACTATATTAGTTAAAAGCTGAACTCTTTGAAGAATTTAAATCACTGAATTATTTTTGCAAAATCGAATCCGGTCTTACCGAAAATTTGTTCTGGATTGAAAAATAAAAAAAACGGAATTAAACTAAGACATTATTTAATTAGAGAAGCTTTTAATTGCTTTTATGAATAATATGTATTAAGGACAACATTGTCTGAAGAAAAAAGAATTTTGACGAAAAATGAATTTTTACAAGATTTTTTACGTTTTCTTACAATTTTAAATTGAATAATTTACAAAAAATTAAAATCTTTTAAAACTTATTTTCAATGTGATAATCCTTAGAAAATATTGTTATTAACTAAAACTATATTTACTAATCATATATTGTAAAGCTTATTGCAATCTGATGAGCCCGGATATTTTTAAAAGAATTGATTTGTTTTTGTATGTGTGAGTAAGTGCAGAATCTCTGAAGTATGGATGTACAAACCGATAAATCTATCATTAAAAGGTCACGTGTTTTAAGGGTTGTTTATAAAAAAAAATCCTCTCATGAACTTTATTGTCTACTCTACCGTACTTAACTATGAACAAGTTCAGATGTCAATCCGCTGTCAATAAATCGATTAACACGTCACAAAAACAAGAACCCGTGGTTAAGAAATGCTTGTATACAATATTTTATGCTATAAGTAAGTAATATTTGTTTCAAATCTGAATAATTTAACTTTGAATTTGCTAATTTTCCTCAAATAACGTTTCAGAAATATATACTTTATTTTTGAAAGATTTTTAAAACCAAGAATTAACTTTTGTTTACAAATGTGTCAAAAATGGCCGAATTTAACGATTTTACTGAAAAAGAAAATCGATTCCGATCAATATAATGTCTGTTTGAAATACACCACAGAGTATTTTGCTTACTGGAAATACTAAATTTTAAATCCTTTAGCTTTCAATTAAAGCTAAAATGAAAGCTTCAAGAATGCTTTTTCATTTGTAAAAAAATATTTTTAACCTTACGTATACTGAATTAGTGGAAGTACATATATATTCTGTTGGTAATTATTTTCTATTATTTAACAGTTTTAAGAACTCGTTATTATAAGAAAAATAAAATTCATTTATTCAGACGTTCAATGACAAAAATTTAACTACATTAAAATTTAAAAAAAAACAAAAAAGACTGTGGCTATTACCCCAATCTCGTTTGCCACTGTCAAGGACACATGGCCCTGTGGATAAAGACATTGGTTAGACTCAGTGACTAGACCCAAAGAGATGTGAGTTCAATACCAGGCTACAACCAAAAAAAAAAAACTTGGAGAGTTGAGTTTAAGGAAAATAACTGATACCTCCGGAAGAGGTATGGCACGTGGAACTAGAACAATCTACCCCGGTGGACGAAATAAAGGGTTCGGTTCGAAATTCCAGTCACCTAAAGATGGCCGGAGCATACAACGGCCGAAACGTTGTGAATGTGGCAATGAAGATGAGGATAACAGTCCGAATAATGTAAATACTGTAAATAATCATAATACCTCATCTCAGAGATATAGAGGCCGAAACGCTGTGAATATGAGGATAACAGTCCGAATAATGTAAATAATCATAATACCTCATCTCAGAGATATAGACAGATATGCTATTCATTATATAAAAATGCATAAAATATATCCATATGTTGAAATTTATTCCTGAAAATGTTGAATTCAGTTTCTGCAATGGTTCTCGCTCCACAACAAACTTGTCGACCCACACAATCCTTTACAAACGGATTTTCTACTCGGATCATCACCACTGATACTAAACTGTGCAGGCAGCTACATTTGTAGTGATTATGTGGTCGTCACCAGTGAGGAGGTCGTCTGAGAGAAAGTAATTACGAGTTTCGATTGGTAGCAGGCTGAAGTTTCACGTGAGATTGAACGACTGGTAGTATATCCTGGGCGCTGAGGACACAGCACAGGCTGGGTGGAGAGCTTCCTTGACAGGGCGGAGGGTACCCCGATTAAATTAATGGCCACATTTACGTGACCAAGGTGAACGTTCAGGTCGGAAGATATCGGCTGTGCTCTGACATGGAGATTGATGCACACCACCATGCCTACTTTTCTTTTTTTTTCTTTTTTTTTTTTTTTTTTTTTTTTAAAGTAAGCTTGGCTAACTTAGGCAGTTAATGAGAAAAGAAAAAATATGTTTAATAGTATTGGATTTTCAAATGTAATCCATTTCCCAACCTCAGAATCCTTAAAAATCGGAATGCTAATGACTTTTCAAATATCAATAAACAGATCAATTGCCTATATATATATATATATATATATATATATATATATATATATATATATATATATATATGTATAAGTATATAAATTGGTGTATACGGAATGAATTCCAATAACCAACAATTACTATTCTTAAAAGAGTGCTCAATACAAAGTAGAGCAGATATAATTATTTTTTATAAAAAAAAAAATTTATAACATAAATATGTTATAAAATCACTACAAAAATAGCCATTTTGTTTCAACATCCTCGGTGTCTTATCAAGTGTTCCCTTGATAAGACACCGAGGGTGTTGAAACAAATGGCTATTTTTCTAGTGATTTTATAACATATTTATGTTATAATTTTTTTTTTTAAAAAAAAAATTTTATATATATATATATATATATATATATATATATATATATATATATATTATACTATGTATATTGTTCGAACGGTTGTCATCTTTATTGTCCCATTCACATTATTTTGGCTGATGTACGCTCCGGCTTTCTTCAATTGATATTTGTTTGAATTTCGAATAGTCAATCTGGATGTTGGCGTTTCTGAAGATTGGTTCGAGGACGTTTATGTAGACGTTCTTTCTGTGTTTATTTCCTGAAATGGGCTGACATATAATTGAAACGTTGCGAATATGTCAAAAAAGATGAGGACAACAGTCCGAACAATGTAAATAGCGTAGTTACAATACTTCATCTCAGAAATACAAATTCATTTAAAGGAAGTAATGGACATCGCGCAAAAGGCGATATAAACGATCCGAATTTAAATGCCAGGCTAACGTTGTGCTCACTTCTCACCAATGCCCTTTGGAAAGGCATGAATCCGTTTCTCCTTCTTCCATCAGTTATGAGTTAAATTGCAGGGTAGACTGGACTTGCAAGCTTTGGGTGGCAACCAGTCTAAGAAAAGGAAAATAGTGAATTCCCAACTGAAGGCCACGAGTAACTACGCCACTATCTTTTCCAAGAATGTATGGTAATTCACAGATGATAAAAGGTGAGTCATCATCTTCTGAAGGAACATGAATGACATTAAAAAAAAGTGAACTGTTACAAATATTTAAAATATCAAATAGCTCAGGATACCTTTAACGGTTTCAAACCGTAATATTTAAAGTTGATATCGAAAAGTAATTCATAGTAAATTCATAGTAAAAAACAAAAATCAAAAACCAGTTGGAGTTGTGGGAAAATGAAATAAAATCAATAAATCAAATAAAAGAATTAAAAAAAAAAAAGAAATAAGAAATACGTTTTTCCATGATGCTAGTAATAAAGGAACCAGAAAGAATTTTGGCCATTTGCGGAATTTGATTACTCCACTTGGCATCGCCAAACGCTATTAGGCGGCGCTGTTCTACAAAAAGACAACCATTTCCTTCATCTTTTTCTTCCCCTTGCTCCAATATGTATTAATTGCAAATGAAGACGTCGCCGCTGGGAACGTTTCTTTTCTACGATTGACTGAACTATCTTTCCACTTCCCAACGCATAATGTTCGGACGTATTTAGCAAATCCACATCTGAAGTAAGTATAATCTTTACTTTGGTCGTTCCAACTCAGCCCAAAGCTGACGCGAAATCGCCCATTATAAGTAACTATCCTTATCATTACTTACCCTAACTGAATCAGAAAAAACAGAAGACGGACATATCCAAAAGAAATTGAGAACTTTGTTTCACTACAGTTTTTATAGGGAAAAGGAACAAACGGTCCATAGTAAAAACCCAAGTTTTTGTTGCTTCTTCAATTGTTTAGAGGTGAACACGAAAACACACCTGCCATACACCAACACTCAACCTTAAAATGTATATGTTACAAGAAAAGAACTCGGTTTGAAATTGAACTGAAACTGAAGAATTTATTTACAATAGTTTAAAAATGAAAGAGAAAGGGTATATAAAATCTTGCTAAAATATTATTTTGTTTAATACAAATTCAACTAGGTTAAGAGAAAACGTTCATATAACAGAAGAACTTACAATTGATTGCTTCGTAGTGAGTCTCAATAAAAATAAAATGTATAAACAAGAAAAAAAAAGAAAGAATTAAAATTAAAATAAGGCATTTGTACTTTTCTTTAAAGCCTTTATCTCTTTCTTTCTTTCTCTCTCTATCCTTCTCTTTCTATACTGCCCCCTCAACTAAGGAGAAGGCAACCCTCAAATAAAAAGAGGAAGAAGAAAAGACTGGACCCGGCCGAAAAATGCCGGGCGTTTGCGGGACCAGAGCGTACGAATTTGTGACTGAAAACTAACAAAAATGACGGAGACTTCAAACATGGAAATCCATTATAAAAGAAATGAAAAAGAAAGGAACGATGACAAATAAAATAATTTTGGCCAATCAAAAAAATTAACACAGAGAAACTTTTGATGTTAGCCCGAACCAATGTTCACGCCAGAGTCTCAGAGACTTGTGAAAAGGATATAAACTCACACCTTTGAAGCGAGAAGAGAGAGGACAAAACAAAATACACTTCCACAGAGAAACCAGTCGTGCGTGACACATAAAGTAGTTAAAAGGTCATTTACTAATGACATTTTCTGCCCTTCTTAGGGCCGAGAAAAAATACAGTAGATTGACAATCAAACCTATTTCTAATATTACTACTACCACTACCAAGACAAAACGGACATTTCTCCAGACTGCTACCAATATCCGCCTTATTAACAAACATTTTGCTACACCGAATACTAAAGGACTCATTGTAAAGCAAATAAATAAAAAATATATTATTTATTATATACTCTTGAGAGACAGTTCTTTTATTCTTGAAATGTATGTATATTTCGGCAGTATATCTTCATTCAAGCAGGTTTCATTAAATAATATAAACATGTCTATTTATTTTTATAATAATCCTTTAAATTTTCTAATTATCTTCTTGATGTTAAGTTGAAACTCATTAAGGAAGACACCATATTTTTGTTAACCCAAGTACTTTCAATCTCCTTCAAGATCATCGTCAGGGGTGAATTGCAGAGACAAAGTTAATGTAACTAATTATTATGATAGTGATTTTACAAACACACGTGAATGTGTTCTGATATAATTATTTTAAAATTAACCGTTGTGGTTACAATGTTTTATGGTTACAATGGTTTACAAGTGTTCCCAATGCAAGGGGGATAATCAGAGATGGTAAATTTCAAAATGGTGTTAAATGTTAGTCAACTGAAATACATTTTAAAATATTGCTACTGTACTCATAATAAATTTTGTTCAGTGTTGGTTGGTTGCTTTTGATATAGAAGGCCTTGAGAATTTGAAGTTTTTCTTTATTATTTTCATGGTATAGTATATTGGTGCTGTTGACAAGTATTTTCCTGTATTGTGAAGGTGAACAAAATGTGTTTTTAAATGTTGTGTAATAGAATTTGTATCCAACAAATGAAGTGTAAGATGTCTTGATAACTTTTTGGTCCAAGATACAATCACCCAAAGGACATTTAAATTGATATACAAGTTGGTCTTTTCCAAAACACTTGTTAATGGAATGTTAGTATATTACATAATTAGTTTTATTTTTTACTGTGATCAATGGAGAATATATTGGTACTTAGATTTTTTTCACATTGTTTATAGTTAGAATGTATTTGATTGCAGTATAGTAGGTTGATATGATTAAGGTTATTTGAAGTTTTTTTTTTTTTTTTATTTATGTTAATATTTCTAATGGTTTATCTAATTTGTTCATCAATGATATAATTAGGAAAGTCATTATTAATGAGAGTTTGTTTCATGTTTTTCACAGATGAGTTAACTTTTGCATGGCTTATTAAATTTTTTATAATATTCGGCGTATTCACTTTTATAGCACGTGTATATGCTAATTTTTTTTTTAATATGTGGAGGTATTAAATGTATTATTATTGATGTCTATTAATATATCAAGAAAAAGAATTTTATTCTTAAATTCATATGTGAAGTTAAGAATGGAGTTTTTTTTGGAAAATTTTCTTGTAGTTTGTATTTCATCTAGGTTTTTAACTAAGATGAGGATATCATGTACATATCTTACATAGATGGGAAGTTTTTTTTAATGATATTAAATATCTTATTTTCAAGGTTAGTCATATAGAAGTTACTAAATGTTGGACCAAGAACTGAACCCATGGAAATGCCATGAAGTTGTATGTAGATATTATTTTGGTGATCAGAGAAGGGAATCTCAGTGGTACAAGTCAAATTTGTAATATATTAGGTTTGATTTTTAATAGAGGGAGAGATAGATTGTTGTAAATATTCTTTATAATTATATCAATTGTTTCTTTAACTTGGACATTTGGTAAATAAACTTTTAACATCAAACGAGGTGATGGATTCATTATTAAGTTTTTGTTTGTGTTTTTAAGATTTGGATTAGGTCATGAGTTGCTTTAATAATGTATTTACTAGGTATGTATGGTGTAATGAGCTGCTTCATGATTTTGGTCAATTGGTAAACCAGAGCAGGGATTTGGGATATAATGGGATAGCACCTTTCTTGATGAATTTAACATCAAAAAGATAGAGAACTAGAAAGAATTATTATAAAAATAAAAATGAAACACTCTCATATATATATAGGAAACTGACAGCCCGACACCATCACATGAGATTTGATTATAGTGGTGAATGTTTTGTGCAAAACTATCCACACTTTTTGAAGGGCTGAATACACACAACTCTGACTTCAAAACCTGCAGAGGGTTGTTTGGGGACCCTGTGGCACGCAGTGCACCAGGTTTCTGTATTCAGCCCTTCAGGATTGGAATGAACAAAAAAAAATATAAAATAAATATAGACAACAGCAACAACAAAAATTCAAAGAAATACTTTAATTCTCATTTTTGTTATTTTTTTTCTTCAACACAATTTTGCATCTGATAACTGTCACTAAGTCAAAGCAATTAACAAGAGTATGACTTTCTTTTTCTTTTTTTTTTTTTTGCCTAAAGTTTTTATAGAATCAATGTTCAAGTTCTGGTTTTCCATACTTCTTTTCCCATGATTTTATATACTCTTCTTTCCGAATGTCTCGCCGAGCAAAATATTCTGGGTAGCGGGCTTTTTCTTGAGGTGTCCAGGTATCTAATATCTGCAAGTAAAATAAAAATCAAAAAGTAATGGAAAGTTATCATTCAAAGAAAAACACGAGGTGAGGGATGATAAAATATGTCCATCTTGGATGCAAAGTTTGGTAAGGATTTAGTATTATCACACAATAGAATAGGTCTGAATCTGCTGTAAGAATCCATGCTTCAGGAATATTATAAAGTTGAGGCACTTAGGGTATGAAACTTGAGAAAAATATTGATACTCACCTGGCCTATCCCGAACTATGAATATTTTTTATCTGAATTCCTGAGGTGAGATGTAAAGGTGATGTGTTATTTCAGACTAGTTTCTCCTTCTTTATTGTTTTTCTTAAATTGTTTCATTTGTTATTACTATCTCTACAAACATTTTGAACTTTCAACAAAGAAAAAAGATTCAATGCAGGGCTACTATTTTGGCTTTTAAAGATTTTCTAGCCCTCAAAAGCAGAAGGGGGGATTATAAGAAGAAGAAATTTTTAATTATAAAACTGTTGGGAAAAGAGAATAGAATCAAATGAAGCAGATTTTGATTGAAAAGATAATTTTTTTAAATGTAGTACAAGTTGTACTCCTTTTACAGCAACCTTTGAACCTGGTTCTTACCAGAAAAGGAACTGCCCCCTAAGGGAACCCTCCTATACTTAGCCATATTACTACTAACAGCACCATCTTGCTGACAAATTTTTTTTTTTAAAAGGTTCATGTTTAAATGTTTGGTTTAAACTTTAAATCATGCTTTATTAGGTACTTTCAAAAATTTAGTACGAGAGCATAGTATGATGAAAAAGTGCCCCAAACTTGATAAAGACAAAGTTTTATCATTCAATGTTTATGTTATTAAAAAGAAGAGAGGAAATACCAAAGTATTTTTTGATTACTTTAAATTTTTTAATCCTTTCTAGCACATATGAAATTTTAAATCAGCTAATATTTCTCAAATAAAGTTTCAGAAAGTATATTTTATTTTTGGAACAAGATTTTTTAATAAAGACAATTACATTGTGATGAAAGATGACTAAAAGAAGTGTGTTAATCGGCTTTTATTTTAGCAAAAAAAAAAAAAAAAAAACTCCTTCCAGTCAATTTAAATTCAGTTTGAAATTTAAAGTATTTTGCTTATTGGAAATATAAAAATTAATCTATTAGCTTGAAATTTTATTTGTATATTATTTATGAATAGATTTCAAAATATCAAAAAGAAAAAACATTGAATCAAACTTGGAGTCAGGTTACAAACTAATAAATTACAGCTCAAACCAGAGTTTGAAACCAAATTGAAGAATTCTAGTGGCAAACTCATGAACTAATGGTGCCAGATTCAAAACATGTTAAACAATTGAAGTTAAGACAGCAGAGATTGCTGAAGTAAATGGTATTTTATTTTCTTCTTCATAGTGACCAGTTTCATAAAAACAATATGAACATATTAAATTATTATAATCAGCTGGAATAAAATTTAGATAATAATATATATATATATATATATATATATATATATATATATACATCACCATCCTTCAACATTCTTATTCTTTCCACACTGTTTGGTTCTGTATTGCTGTCTCCAGATCCCCAATGTCCAACCCTGAGTCCCGAGCTATGGTGTCTGGGAAAGTCAATTTTTGTGAGAAAATACTTCCAGAAGGATGCCATAGAAGTAAGGATGAAGTGACGTTTCTGTCTGCTAGGTGTGTAGTCGTTTTTGCTTGAGGCCTATATATATATATATATATATATATATATATATATTTATAAATATATATATATTGTTCTTTAAGACAAATATTATTAAAGACAACAGATATTTTGTGTCAATTTTAATGATTGACTTTTCCAGATTATGAATAATCCTTCTTAGACAAAGAGGAAATTCTGACAGAAATTGTTCAAAGTTAATTTTGGAAGAAAAATATAAGAAATATAGCCCAAACTTTTGACTTCCTTAAGTCATCATCAGAGTAGGTAAAGACAATATGTGAGTTTTGTAGAACTAGTGAGAGTTGAGATGTGTGCGAGATTTTTTTTTATATACATTTGAGGATGTGAGCTCTTAAGTTATATATAGATACATAAATAATTAGTCCCATGGTATTTTATGTGCTAGATGAAACCTTTTCAAATATTTTATAACTACACAATTTAAAAAAAAAAATTTTGTGAAACATTACTAAGCAAAATTTTTCCCATCATAGATCTCTCAAAGTTTTTTTCATATCTGCATATAGTTTGGTATCTAAATGTAAACAAAGAGAATTTTTAGAATGGATTTTTATTCATCTGACAATTTTGTATCCCTTTTTTTCATGGATACTCATATTTGGGGAGATGTTCTGTTTATTTATTAAACAGTATATTTATTTATTTATCATACCAGCCTGAATACGGAATCCTGCATAAAAATAAGTAAATAAATAATTCAATGAAAACTTTAGTTAAGAACTAAAGACGATTATTGGAGACTCACTAAAGTTTGCAAAGTTCAACTTTACACTGAACAACAAAAATCAAGTGAGTGAAATATAACCAATGTCCTTCCAATACATTTTTTTTTTACTTTGTGTACAAAACAGGAGGAAAACAGAATCTTTCCTTTTTCCACATCAGTTCTTTTCATTAATCAAGTTCAAAAATGTCTTTTTCTTGTTTTTCAATATGTTTTTAAGGGTGTTGTGTTAAAATCTTTTTACAAATTAGTTTAGTTAGCTGCCAAAGTTTTCAAAGTTGAGAATAGCAAGAGCAACATAAGCAAAATAAGATCCCACCACTCTCCAATTTGTATGTCAATTGGAATTATCACCTTTCCTTAACAGTTAACAGCAACATTTTATGAAAACCTTCTTGTGTGTGTCATCAACAACTTCAATCATTTTGGAAAACAATGCTTTGAGAATAATTTTTTTTTTTTGCTTTTTATAATTTTAAAATCCTTATTTTCTTATATTGATCATTGTTGAACTTAACATATTACAAAACAAAGCCAAATGCAGTGGGTGGAGTTAGACGTACAAATAGGGTTTTGTGCTCATTTTACAAAGTTAGTTTGTCTTGAAAATAAACATGTAAAACACTGTCAGCTGTAAGAAATACATAGTCTTTTAGTATGCCCCAGTTTGATATAAACTATCAGTATTTATTTTTATGTGTCGGCTCTGATGTTTTAGGGGTGTTATCTTACGAGAACAATTTATTATACAAGAAAACTAAACCTACAATAAAATATTGAAAACTTTCTCCGGTTGAGGCTTGGAAATTATGTTAAGTCTAGAAAGAGAAAAAACTAACCCAACAAACTGGCCAAAATAGAAATTTAATAAGATTAGTTTGATACAAGACCAAATCAGAAGAAGAAGACTAGAAAGACTGTGCTACGCCAATATTCAATGAAATAGGTAACTATCTAGGTGATTATTTTCGTTTCAAATGAACGTATTTTCACTAATCTTCCCAGACAATGAATTGCTTCTTTGTCATATAATACAGCAAGGGACGTAACTCTGATTGTTTTCTGATTAGGAATTTATAAAACATGTATTTCTTTCAGTAAACTGATTACCTTGTGTTTAATCTTTTGTTTTAATGGTAGGATTAAGAGCTTTAAAAAAAAAAAAAAAAAAAAAAAATAAAACATGAATTCTGTTCCCTAAAATATTCACTATTACTAAAAATTCGGGAATAAACCAAAGAGTTATGTCCCTTGCTAGATTGTGTGTTGAAAAATATTCACGATTTTGTTCTGTGTAAGGTTATCACTTTCAACAGAAAAAGAAATACACAATTGATTTCTGTTTGGATTCAACAGAAATCATTAGCATTATTCTCTTACTAATATTATTCATCCTTACTGCTTTTTTCCGTGATAATTTTGATCAATACACTCTCCATCATCATCATCACTACTAATATGACTACAATTTAACTGCCTCTTATTTTTGCTTTCTGACCCGACACACTGACAAATGCAAACTGCAACAGTTAAAGCAAACAGCACAAAATTGAAAATAAAGTAGTTTCAACTGAAATTTTAAATTGTGTTGCACTCTTCAGAACCTGTCTTTCATGAATGACTATCATGGAAACCATTTTGGTCATAAAGTGATTTTTATAACAGTGTTCACCCTGTATAAGGCCCAAGAGGGCTACAGAATAAGAAGGTACAAATCTATAGACATTCTAACACCCACTTTTCTGATTCTTTACATTGTTTTACTATTTAGCAATAGTAGTCAAAATATTTCAGCTTGGATGTAATAAAAATGTTATTCTGCTTTCACAGTTGAATACATGGTAGATGATACTGAACTTTTGTGCATATACATGTTTGTTATGGAGGCAGTGATATGTTTTATGTTGTGGTTTTGTTGACATTATATTTTGGAATACAGTTTCATTTAAGAAATTGTAGGATGGCTTAATGTCATGAAAATTCTTTTATATTGGTTGTTTGATAGTATTTTAAAAAGATTTGGGTGAAGTTGCTACAATTTGTTAGTCTGTGCATATTGTTAGTAATTTTACTATAAATATGTGTTGTTGGTAATGTTTTATATAAAAATGTATTGCTGGTATTTTTATACTTTTATAGTATTTTGTTTTTTTTTTTGGGGGGGTCACTATTTGAGACCCTAACAGGTGCTATCACCCAGGCTCCAGGATAGACCAGGGAACAATAACAATTAACAATACCACCAATCTGTCAATCAGAGGCCATGCTGCTGGATGTAATTTATCATCATACCCAGGACTATTCAACTGTATACAATGAGAAAGAAAGATGTAAAAAGAAAAAGAAAGAAAGGAGTGGTATGAGAGAAATCTGACTTACCCAATCAGGCATATGAGGGTCACGACCATAACAAATTCCTCCAGGAGAATGGGCATCTAGGAGAGCAATAAGAAAAAACAAATTAAATTAGCATTTATAAAATACTTGCAACAATGTAGAAATATAGAGAAGGCTCCAACCCATAACAACTGTTGGTAAAATCTTTAGAATTATAAAATTTTCACTGAACACTGATTAAGAATATTCTGTCATAATTCTGTTTAAATTAAAAAGGAAGACTTTGATGAAATTTCCCAAGCTTCATTCAACCTATATTTGTAGAAGAATTTCAATTATTTCTTGTATACTTATTACATACACAACTAAACATGCTGGCTGAGTCATTCTTCTATGTTAAGGCACAGCATCAGAAAAGAAACATGCCCAACTGTTTGTTTAGTGGCATATCAACTCATTATGGGTCATTCAATGATGAAATTTAATTTTCTTGGGAGTATTAATAATTTCTTTTACAAAAAATGTATTGCTGGTAATTTTTTACTATGAAAATGTAATTTTATACTTTCATAGCGTTTTTTGTTTTGTTTTGTTTTTGGGGGGGTGGGTGTCACTATTTGTCGATAGTTTGTAGTCATTGCTCAAATAATTTAGCCAACATCTTATTTCATTGGTCCACAAACATCTTTCAACAGGAGAGATTTTTTTTTTCAACAGTTGCTCCCCTGTGACCATATCGTAAGAACATTCCAAAGATTCAAACAATTACATCTTTGAATTCAGGAAAGGAAGAAATATGATTATGAAAAAAAGTGAAAAGTGGCTCTTTTCATAGTCACTTTTTGAAAGAAGTTTAATCAGTTCCTTGAGAAGCTATTTTTGTCAAAGTCCAAAATCAGACTCCATTTTGGGCCTGAAGAAAAGGTTTCTTTTTATGCCTAATTGTACAAGCATTGGTGTGGTTTCATTGAACAATTTACAAATTTTCCTTCAAAAGAACTATCACAAACAGAACAAAAAAAAGAAGTTTAACCTTCATGCCTGAAAAAAAAAAAAAAAAAATTGTCAAAAGGACGTTTTTTTTCTGTGGACATCACTATAACTTTAAAATACCAAGACTTCCTTGGCAATGTTTAATTACAAGATTATAAAAATATGTGAACTGTGTGATATTTATTATTTACTATTTTATAGATTTATTATTCATCATTTTATAAAAGAAAGAAATTTGAAAAGAAATCTTTTTATTCAAAAAAATGTATAAAAACCTACAAAATTTTCAGTGAATTGTGTTTTTTGGAATGGTTGGCAAAACATTCATATTTTTTGAATTTTGTCAATATAAAAAGATTCTTGTAAATAAACAATCTAATAAATACATAATGTTTAATATTTTTGTTAGAAATGCTCATAGAAAATGTATAAATTCACTTTCACATGTCTGTGTTTTATTAAAATTCTAATCATCGCTTTTTAAAACAATAAACGTTGCTGAGGAAGTGAAGGTAATACAAAATAATAGTGGTGTCAAAGGAAAAATTGTCCTTTTGACACACCGTGTTTTCCTTTGATACATTCTTTTATTGTGGCCATGAAGATTAAACTTTGCCAAAACATTTATTAAAATCTCAGTACAAATGCTTATTTTTTGTTATGGGTCAGAAATTTTTTTGTACACATTAGTAAAATTTATGCAGTCTATCATTAAAAAAAAAATTATGATACACACTGTATTAATATATTTGTAAAATGAAGTTTTTCTATCAAATTTAAAAAAAAAGAAATCAAGTCATTTCTCTTCTTCCTTTACTTATACATTACATCCTGGTTATGATGATAAACTACAATTGGGAGGTTTTCAGGAATGTGGAACCACCCCTTAATTGCTGTTGTTTACAGGTCCATTCTGACCTGAGGTGGTAACACCTGTTAGGATCCCAGGTATGGATAAATAGTTAATCACCAAACTGGGGTCAAAGCACTTTGAAAATTTTAAAAATACATTTTTAATGTAAAAACACCAGAATACAGTTTCAGAGTTAAAAAAAATTATCAGCAATACATTTTTTGTAAAAGAAATTACTAATGCTTCTAAGAAAATTAAAATTCAGCATTAAATGACCCATAATGATTTGATATGCCACTAAATAAACAAAAAAAAGTTATCTCCATGTTGGAATGGTATTACACCTAATTTCCAACTCACAACTCCTAAGTGGTTGGTTCTTTACAAAAAAAAAAACCTCAAGGGCATACAACATTAGGATTTCAGTTTGCTGATGGTAGTTTTTCTTTAATAATATTTTGGAAATAGATTTTTATATTTTTGTGATTTTGTTATAAAAATTATTAAAAAAAAAAAACAAACAATCATTTGGGTAAAAAGTGAATGGCACATTTGTTATCACTACTAAGTATAATTTTTTTCTTTGAAAAAGTAAAAACCAGCCTTTCTAAAATTTAATCCAAGACTAACATTGGCAATAAAGAGATCAATTTGAAAATGTGATTAAGGCAGGGATATGTAGTCATATACAGAAGGAGACAGAATATTTAAAAGCTTCTCCTGGCTTTTATGAAAAGAAGTTAATGATTCATTCATTGAACAAGCAGAAAAAAAATTCAAAGATTTCTTGCAAGTTGAAACAACTGAAATTATAGAATATAGGTTTTACTTTAGGTTTCTTCTCAGAACATGGACATAGCTTACAATGTTACAAACAAAAACAGAATATATCAGATTGTACCAGAAACAGAATATTTTAGGTTGGGGCCAAATATTTTCCATGGCTTTCTTATGACCTTTTACTACTTTTCAGCTAAATTGTTTCTTCCATCATAAAATGATGCTTTAAACTTGTTGGAACTTCTGACCAGACAAGGAAAGAAACGTGATATTCTGAAGGCGACGGGTCTGCAGAAAATACTGAATGTGGAAAAACAATTAGCTGTATTGCATCTGCAGCTACAACATGTTATCATCATGCAGTAAAATCCCAAAGGTCAATTTCCTTGTCCAGAAATCTGTACAGCAAAAGTTCTTCACTTGACTAAATATATAGCGTAAAATTATTTTTGAAAATTTGAAAAATTAAAAAAAAAAAAAAAAAAAAAAAAAAAAAATGAATAACATCTACTGACTTTGATAATATCCACAGGTATGGTGGGAAGCACTTGATTATAAACATTTGGATACTATTTACTGATATCTAAATTAAAAAAGTGAACTAAAGATATTTTTGGTAAACTTGAACCTTTGTGCCACCATGAAAAAAAAAAACGCCTGTTAAAATGATACTTTTTTCCAATGATACTGTTACCATTTTAACTATCTTCACTCTTCAGCAATATTTATTGTTTAAAAAAGCGATGATTAAAATTGATTGTAAAGCTAAACATATGATGACACTGAAATTATACATTTTTTGTTCTTGAGAATTCACAACAACACTAATTATTAGATTGTTTATTTACAAGAATAATTTTATATTTACAACATTCTAAAAACTAATACAATGCAATATTATTTACCAATTTATATAATGAATATGAAAACAATTTCCTATTCATAAATTTATAAACATTTACTAAATTATTGAAATATGTGAACCAACTATAAGGAAATCTTTATTATTTACCATTTTATAAAGTTTGAATCAATTGGCAATTAGCCAATGTTTTGACAACCATTCCAATAAATAATCTAATAAAGTGCTTATAGTTTTTGTTGTCAATTCTCAAAAACAAAGAAAATGTATAAATCCATTTTCATATGTTTAAGTTTTATTACAATTCTAATCATCATTTTTTTAAATAAACATTGTCAAGGAGTGAAGGTAGTTAAAATAATAGCAGTGTCAAGGGAAACATTGTCCTTTTAACACTCCATTTTTTTCCAGCCACAAAAGCCCAAATTTGTCGATTTTTTTTTTTTTTTTTACAAATTCTTGGCTGATAGATTTATTAATTATTATTAGTCTTGTATTAATTAAATAAAGTGAATGCCTTACATTTGTATGGCTGTGGATGCTGATATTTCCAGAGGAGATAGTTCGCTTCATTAATCAATTCTTTGGCTTTCTTCAGGTCCACTTCATCTTTGTTCTCATCAAACTTAGCTCTTAGTAAAACACTTTCATATCTCAGTTGAATTCTGAAAATAAATAAAGCACATATAAAAGAAAAAGCAAATGGTAATCCTGAAGGTAATTCACTGAGAATATTTGCAGCAAAAGTCAGATCAAACCAAGAATTTAGTATTGCAGCTACATCTGGGCTGGTACTGCCCAGTCCTCACTGTCCAGCCATTTAGCTAATATGAATTGTTCACATGCAAATTCAGCATTTCCCATCCTCTATAACCAATTAAATGTTCTCCCCAAATCTTAAATGGATCTCATTTATAGGATTCATCGTTAAAGAGGCTGGAAAAATGGTCAGTTCCTTATACCGCTCTAGGAAGTACGTAAGTCTCCCTCAGCTTCTTCCTGAAAACTATTACTTTGTGAAATAGACTTGCTTGACCACAACAATCAAGACCTCTTCAAGTTCAGGGTCAACAGATATCTATCCTACATAGCCTCACATATGTACTACTTCCTTCTTCCTCTTTTATAACAATCTCACTTAGTAACCCTCTGACTTACTTACATTTCATGAACTCCATACCCTCAAGTACTAAATAAACATCTGCCACTTGCTTGTTCATTTTTTGGGATCCCATCCCCATTTATTAGGAGACACAGCCAGTACTGGGGAGAGAATCTCTGAGGTCTGGCACTCAGATTATTTTGCGGTTCCCCGGTTGGAAAATGAGATGCTGGGACAAACAAACTCAATCTAGCGTGTCTCACAAAACTTTTTAAAGAGTGTGTCTTGGCAACCCTTGCAAGTGAGTGTGATTTGGCAAGAGAATTAGGCTTTGAGGAACTCATCACGCATTTTGCTTCAATGAAAGTTTGAAAAATGCACTTTTTAAGCTGTTTTGATACTGGTTTTAGTCTTCATATTTTTTTCAATAAAATACCGATTTGTAATTTTGCTCTCTACTTTTCTACTTTTGGTAAAGAACCCCCTCCCACCCCCAACCCCTAAAGGTATTTTCTTGAGGCCCCTCAGATTTTGAAACCTGGCACATTTGGAAGATTTGCCATATTTTTAACTTCAAGACAATCTCTTTTGTCAGAATAAATTATGTTCATCATAGAACCTCAGCTGAACTTACAGAAATGGTATTAATTATATTTTTAGCTATTATATATTAGCTGTTAATATATAAGATTATTTTTGGATAATCCAACAACTGGTTCACTAAGCTTTTATAATTTTAAAAATCGGTTTGTACAAGCTGGTAGGATGCCACCACTGATTTTGACCCCAATGGCATTATGGCTAGGACTGGGTCCAGGGGTCATGGAAGTGTGTGTGAAGAAGACAATCATGGAAGTTATTATGCTGTAACTTTCTTGAAAAGTCTTTAATAAAAAAAATTTCTAAATGCTATTTTCTTTGCTCTGCTTTTGAAACAGTAAAAAGATCTTTTTGATTCATTAATTTTTACAGCTTATCAACCCTTTACAGGTTATTTAAAAAATATTTTGAAATTTTATGAATTTTTTTTTTTGGTGGGGGGAGATAATAGTTTGGTGATACAAGTCTTACTAATTAATCCATAGCTGCAGGGAGAATAGGTGAATTCATACTTTTCCCAGGGGTATTTTCACATGTGAATATAATGAACTCAACCAGAATTGAAACTCAGTTCTCCAATTAACAATTCCAAGCTATTATCCATCACACTACCCACACATCCAAGTTTACAGCACTTGGTGTCCCGAAGCAGTTACCCATCTAGGTACTGACTCAATGTTGCTTAACTTCGGTGATCATACGGAAACCAGTGTTTCTACATTATATGGCTGTAAGCAGTAAAGAAAAGGGAATGTTGAGTAAATTAGAGATTATTAATGAATGCTGCATAGATTTGAAAGGCAACCATCAACTAATCACTGATTTTTGGGGACAGTAGACATTAATGGCTTATAAGACCACTGATATGCTTATGGCCATAACTGGATATGTATACCAAGCTCTTGATAATAATGGCAAAACTCAAGCTGTTGCTCTAGATATATCGAAGGCCTTTGATAGGGTTTGGCATGCTGGTCTTCTATGTAAGCTTTAGGGATATGGTATTATAGGAAGATTATTTGATTTAATCCAATCATTCCTGTCAAACCATGAAATGAAGGTCGTCTTGAACAGGTTTTCTTCCAGTTCCTTTCATATGAATGCTGGTATTCCCCAAGGCTCTATCCTGTGTCCTACACTGTTTCTGATCTTCATCAATGATCTTCTTGTTGTCATCAGCTCTTAAGTTGATATCTACACAGAAGACAGTACCATTTACTTCTGTCTCAATAGTAAAGCCAGCATCACTGACAAAGTTAACCTGGCCATTTGTCTTGAAAATGACCTCCAATTTGTGGTTGACTGGTGCAGGAAATGGCTTGTGAATTTTAATGCATCCAAATCAAAACTACTATAGAGAAACCACCCTGCCTCCTATCAGCATGGTTGATGCTCAACTTCATGAGAGTGTCTCATGTTTTCGACTACATTGAATCAATAACTGCAGCTACTGCAAGGAAAGTTGGTTCTCAGTGTCATGTCAGAATGTTTTTCTTGTCCGAGTTCATCCTTCACATCTATAAATCTACCATTTATCCATGCATTGAATACTGCTGCCATCTCAAGGTTCTCGACAAAATCCAATGATCAGTCCTGATTGGGCATCTTCACTACAGTCACACCTTCTCACAGACATGATGTGGCTTCTCTCTGTCTGCACATCCCCCCCCACTTCACTTATGCCTAATCTCTACTTTGTTTGCCTATAACAGTAAATTACAACCCAAGAATAAAATCTGGTTTACTGCTAGAAATTGTTTTGTTCTTCTCTCATGGGTAATGATCTGGCTGAAGGATAATTTTTAAGCCCCCAGCATTTGACTGGAAGAAATTTCATCCTGTCAATGAACCTGGTGTTTAGTCTCAGCTGCAATGTAACAAAATTAATGTATTACAAAAATAAAGGAGCTAAAAAGAACTGATTTGTTAGGATTCTAATTAATTGACAGCATTTCAAGTTGGAATCTGTTTTCTTTTGGTAAAAAGTTTATACAATTCAGATGAAAAATGAACGAAAAGCATCAGCCTGTTACAATTACTTCATCCATTTAAAAGACATAAAATTGTTAGAAACCAAACAAAATATTTATTAAATCCAGGCCCCAAAATCCTAATTATTTGAACAATTTATTTTTGACACACACATAACTTCAAATACTATTATAGTAGTCACTTTATATTTGAAATAGATGACCCATTTCTATTTATTAAACAATGTGTGTTACATCTATCAGGCTGTGCATTCTAGAAATCTTAGTAAAGCTTTGCTTAATGTGATGTTCTCAGTGGTTCAGTGGTAAAGTATGCTGAATCAAACAGTGGTTTCTCCTACAAAGGGAGATGCAAGTTCATTACTAAGATTTCTCAAATGCCAGGCTAATAAATGTAATATACACATGGGTTAATAAATGAAAATGGAGTGTTTATTTCAAATATAAATTCTCCATTATAACAGCTTTTAAAGTAAATGTCAGATTAAAAATAAATCCATTAATTCTTTATATATATATATATATATATATATATATATATATATAATATATATTTGCATGTATTGCAATCCACTATTTTTACATGGGATCTTTTCTGCTAATTCACCCTAAATGTAAAGTTACTTATTGCAAATATTAATTCATACCAAGAAATTATGAATTTTTTTTAAATCAAAGTTTGTTTAAATTTTCAGCATTCTTTTGAAATTATAAATTTTAAATTAAAATTTGTTTAGCTTGTCATGAAGTTGCTGGAGTTGATATAAAAATGCAACTACAAGGAGAGTGGAATTTTTGTTTCTCACAGAGTAAATATTCTTCTTATGTTGATGAAATCCTCTTCTAAAGGATATGATATGAGTTTGAACTTAACAGATCGATAGGATAGATGGTTCTACCATCTCAGTGAATGCAGTGAAGAGAAGTCACTAAGGAAAGGCAATTGGCTCCAAGGGTCAAGACTCCCCTTCCATAAAAGTTGCTGGAGTTGATATAAAAATGCAACTACAAGGAGAGCAGCATTTTCGCTTCTTACTGAGAGTAAATATTCTTTAAAAAAAGATGAAATCCTCTTCTAAAGGACATGATATGAGTTTGAACTTAACAGATTGACAGAATAGATGGCTCCAAAGGTCATGAGTCCCCTACTATAAAATCATATTTGTTATTTCTGGTCAAAGAATATAGCCACTATAAACTTTTGTGAAGAAGAACTTGAGATGAATCATTGTGCCATTGTGGATTGGGCAAACTACCTCAGGAAACTATGCACATGGAGATTTTTATTTGGGGGGTGAATTAACAGAAAAAATCTTATATGTAAAGTGTATGAATATATTTTAATTTTATTTTCAATGTCTTTATGTTGGAAATATGAACCAGAGAGAATAATCATAAAATGATGCTTATTGTGCCATGATATGTAAGTAAGACTGGAATGTCAGGCACTTTGATATGGTATAGTGGTTAACAAGCTAAGTTCGACCTTCACTGAGGGCTGCATAATTGCAACCTTGTGCCACATAAAGCATTATAAGATCAGAATCTTTTCTGGATGTGAGGAAATCACCTTATTTACAATCAGAGTAAATGTCCTCATTTTTTCAGGCCATTGTGCCATCATACCTTTCTCAGGTGTTTGTAAATCCAAACATTTTCTTCAAAATCTACTGAGATAATGTTTTTATTCTGTTGTTCATTAACTAAAAGAAGATATCCCTAGACAGTCTAGGGATATCTTCTTTTAGTTAATTGTCCTTTTGTATTTGCTCAGTTATTATAGCTAAACCTGTTTTCAATTGTAAATTCAATGACAAACACTCTCTCTAGTCTCCAAATGAACAATTTGTATTTTTTTAAACTTATTGCAATGACATTTACTAAGTTTATGAAGGTAATACTGAAAGCTATCGGTCTGAACACAAAGAAATAAAAAATATTTCTAATATTAACTCATTTGTTTGAACTGATAACTTTTCGGCACCCCTACATGTGCATGTTAAATTGTGTCCCGTTATGCCCCACTAGTCGATCACAGACAAACAAAATAACCAAAAATCTTTTTCTTAGGCAATTTTTCCTTATTATGTACACGAATTTTCCCTTTAATAAAAATGAAAATATTTCATATAAGCTTGTATATAAAATAAGTATCAAGAATGCCAGGTAAACATCTGAAACATTTAAAAAAAAAAAAACAAAACAAGGTTACAAAAGTGACCTTGCTTTACGATGAAAAACAAATGTAGAAAAGACAATAAATAATTTAGCAATACGGCATGTTAATATGGATTTAAATATAAGGATATTATTTTAGAGTTTTTACCTATTGCTTGCATAGTACGATTGAAGTAACCGAAGACTATCTTTGTAGAGTTTTCGCACTTTTTGAGCATGGGACAAAACACTACTCTGCAAATACGCCATGATTGCTGCTCGTCCGAAGACTTCCGTTACGTCACTTCCTCTAATTCTCCGCAGATTGATTCATTTTCTAAGTTTAGCTTCGTACAGAATATGGCAAAGTTGGAAGTTTGTGTGTCAGTCTTTGAACTTTGAAGACTTCTTGTTTCGGAAAACAATTAAAAACTCGTGGCTTGTGGCATTGTAAATTCTATTACTATTTAGATAGGTATTTGGTTAGTTGAGTTTTTTTTTTTGTTTTTTTTTACGACATATAATGATTTCTTGTGGTATTTTATTGGGCACCAAGTGAAACTGAAAATCGAGCTCACTTTTTAGGTTTTAGAGACTAGGCTCGCTAACAATTACCCAACTCAGAACGCCTTTAGATATGCATACCATATTTTTAAGAACAGTAAGAACAATATTAATATGCCTTTTAATTCATTTATAAAATTATCAGCAAAAAAATCCATATGCCTTAAGACACGATTAATTATATTTGAATAAACTAAACTTCTAAAAAATCTACAGTTCTACCTGGATTTTCTATTTGTCTTGGACACAAACAAATTCTTTTTTTTATGATTGTATTGTACAAAAACAGCCAACTCTGTCTAGGTTTTACTAATTAACAAACATCTGATTCTAACAACTTAATAGAATTAAAAGCAATTTAATTTTTGGAAGTTTGCTATTTTTAATGGTGAAAAGTTTGTCAAATTACTTAGTTACTATTTATAGAAATTTATATTACAATTATTTGCAAATAAATAAATCAGGGGAGGCAACTCTGTAATTAACCAAACTACATTTAAAATCTAAAGTTATCTTTACCTGTATTATTACCCCCCCCCATTTAGCATGAGTTTAAGTGTCATGATAGTTGAGGAGTTGAATTCATTCTTACTTTTTTAATCATTTTTATGTCCACACCACCAACATTACACATTTCTTGTCGGAATAAACTGACTATCCCTCATAACATATCATTATAGGTGTCTGAAAACAAACTTTGCATAGAAATTCATTATGTTTAGTTTAGTCTGGGTGATTTGCTAGAAATTTGGTCATTCATTGCTAGGGTTATATTAAGAATATAATATCTAAGTTTCAGGGGGGGGGGAGTCCCTCCTCAGTCAGCACCTCCCTGTTGCACTGAAAAAGATATAGAACAAGGTTTGTCACTGATGCTTGAAGTATTCCTATGAGAAGGGCTGAGGAAACTTGGCAATTTCTGTCCCCTAAACTTATGTATGCATGGTGTCCCCCCCCTCTATAAAAGAATGGTCTTATGCCATATTCCAGTTTTATGCCATGTCAATAAAAGGATGTTTAAATATTTATTTACTCAGCCTTTTTACCTGAACTCTACTTATAACCAGAGATCAGGTATATACACGGTACATCAAAAATACTTTTACAAACTTTGGGGCAAACAAGGTAAAATGTCCATATAAACAAATGTCCTAAAGGACATACAAAATGTGTTCTTTGTGGTCAAGTGCATGAGCAGATCCCAGTCTTCCTTGACTCAAAGCAATGTGATGATAAACAGTAGCAAAGGTTGGATGATTCAACTGCCTTCAGTCTGGAAACGCAATCTGATACAGCTGTACACCCATTACCATTTGTGCAGTTGTACATAAAAATTATATCTGCCTTCTCACGATATGAATATCCTGCCATTGTTAAATGGAACACTTCTCATTTAACTCACTACTACACACGTTAAACATTGAAAACAGACAAGCCACAAATGTACACAAATGAAAAATGTAACCTAGTCTACATGGCAACACAATGCCATCTACTTTAAAGTTAATAACTCAAAAACGAAGGATTTGTCGACATATGTTTATATGGACTTTTGTACGTGTTTTGGTGTGAGGAACCCACCCCCAAAGTTTGTAAATGTATTTTTGATACACCCTGTATATAAGCCTTTTTTCTAGAGATCTGTCTCCCAGACAGTACCTCCCCATTGCATTAGTAGGGTAGAGTAAAGGAAATTTTTTGATGCCTGTGGCAATATGTCAGTGGAACTGAACAATTTTTGAACCCACCTGTGCATTGTAAAAGCATTGTGCTACATGTGACCTCAGATGATATATAAATATTATATTTGGTGGTATATAAAAATTTGCTTAAGAAAAAAATATGATTAAAAATTATCTGGCATCTTATAAACAAAGTTGAGGCAGCCTATAGGCTAATTTTATACCCAATCCTCACTACCTAGTCCAAACGAGCCTCTCACTGCTCTGTCTCTACTTCCATGGAAAGTGCTCGGATGAACTACACATTCCTTGGCTCCATCAGAGCTAATCTTCATGGCAAGGACCTGCCATCCCACTTACATTGTAGCAAACCACTCACATTCCTTCTGTATTCCATCGGTGAGAAGTAAGTTTCACTTGAACAGCTTTTTCCCTTAGATCACTGCTTTATGGAACAACTGTTATCTTACCCTCCTATCCATATAAACTGATCCTTAACATAACCCTCTGCCTTGAGTGACTCCAGGGCTTTGTACAGGGTGAAACTTACTGCAAAAAAAAAATAAAAGATCAAAACTCTGTAATGGTATTATTTTCTCAAAAAAATATTAATGATTGAGAGAGCAGTACACCAACAAAATGATGCAAGGGTAAATTATACAAAGCCTAATATATCCATCATGAAACCTAAAATGATAGGTGTATACCAGGTACATACAGCACAGCCAAATGAGCATGATATGGACACAAGTTTTGATAAAAGCAGCATATAACTTTACAGGTGTGGTTCAGTTAGAAATACCTTCAGTTTGAGTAACCCGATCTGCTCAAATAGTCTCTGATTGAGGGTGTGTTGGAATCTGTCTACCCAGGTTTTTGTTGCTAGTCTGAGTGTCAGAATTCCAAACATTTAACAACAACAACACATCTTTTAAATGAAATACATAAAAGGTTATTTTCTGGAGGAAAAGTACAAACAGAACATCGGTTGAATTAACATTTATATATTCTTTTTGGAAATATACAATAACAATAAAATGTTCAATTTTCCTTGCAGTGAAGTTTGTTTTATTAAGTAATTAAGTGTTCTTAGTGTAGTGTGAAGTGTATCAACAGACTTACTTTATGATGGTTAGTTTAATGTGTTTGTGAATTCATAGACAAAGCCTTAATAGGAAGTTGCTGGCTCAATCTCTTCCATTGTGTATACGTGTGTGGGTGTCTGCAAATATAGATCAAACTGGCCTCCATAATTGTTTTGAGCCTTGAGAAGGTATTTTTATATCTGTAAGGGGAACCAAAATCTACTTTCACACAGAGGTGTGAACATTTGAATACAAGGTTTTCATTGGTTAGAAAATAATTTCACACTGGCTTGCAAAAATCTTTTTCTCAAATTTGCGGGAATGGTGAAGGGAGTTATTATTGCTATTTTCTAAATGGTCCAAAAATAACACATGGGAGATCTACAACTACATCCACAAGTATTTTGGCAGTATTTTGGCAGTATTTGTCCTTGTAATGATTGTTTATCAAACAAACTTTCTGATAGGATTTTATTGATTGAACAATATATATATAGGATTTAATTCCTATAGGGGTTCACAAATATCTAGATATGACACCCAAGTTGCTCATTCTTCAAATTTGAATAAAAAAACAAAATCTTGACACACAGCCATGATAATCCCCCACTACTCCCATTCATGAACAGAGATGAACAGTGAATCAGTCCCTAGGTGACATGCCAAACTAGCATCATCATCATTATTATTATTAAAACCGAGACTGTGAAAGTAACTATTGTAACATAAGCACCAGCAACATTTGTTGGTATCAGATAATCCATCATACCTAAATATGCTACTACCATTAACCAACTGGAAGCTAAAGAAGAAAAAGATTCTACTGAAAGGAAATACCAAGTAATGGTAAAACACTAACAGAGGAAACAACATTAAGGCTGTCTATCATATGAAGTAGCCACTGCTTAACAGTAGTGGTAGTTTGTTTTTTTATAAAATGTTTCCAGCTTTTTTTTCTTGCAATATTTTATTTATAAGGATGGGACCAAGGCTCTCTCTTTGGTCCCATTCTCATTCTGCTTTTAGCTTATGGCCATATCATGGTGAAACAACAATTCTTGTCCAATCACCAAAATTAATTTAATTATAAGGGTGTGACCAAGGCTCTCTCTTTGGTCCCATCCTCATTCTGCTTTTGTCTTATGGCCATATCATGGTGAAACACTAGTTCTTGTTCAATCACCAAAGTTATATTTGAACAATGTCTAGATGGGTGACCACTTGGGAATACCAGGTGCTGTGAGCTTAGATGTGTGGGTGGTGTAATGGATAATGGCTCAGAATTGGAAATCAGAGAGCTGATCTCCAGTTCTAGTTGGGGACATTATATTCACTTACACGCAAATACACTTCGCAAGTGTATGAATGCACCTTTCCTCCCCTACCCAGCTATGAGTTAATTATTAAGTCTTGTATCAGTAAATCATTGTTATCTAGAAAATGTTCTTATAAAGTCAAATATTATCTGGCTTTAGATAACATGCAAAGGGTTGATAACCCATAAAAAGCAAAACAATCACTTAACTGACAAGACGTTGACAACAAAATCTTGTCTACTATACAGACAACACCTAGTTCTTAATATTGCCAAAAAAAAAAAATTATTATGATCAAAAATATCTTCTGGCTTTAAATAACCTTAAGGTTGATAAGCTGTATATATCAAATCAATGAAAAAAACTTTCTGCTTTTTATTAATGATCTGGCTAGGAATATTCTCAGATCATTAGTAAACATCTATGCAGATGATACTATCGTTTACAAAAGTACCTCCAAAAATCAATAAGCTGATATCTCCTTTGACCCAGTTCAAACAACTGATATCTCCTTTGACCCAGTTCAAACAACTGATATCTACTTTGACCCAGTTCAAACAGCTCAATAGTGGAAAAACTAGCTGGTACCTTTCAATGCCTTCAAACCCAGCTTGTATCATTTTATTATCACCAATCAAACCTGGAATTTTCTCCAGTCACAACGAATGACTGCTCTCTCAATGAGGCCCTCTGCTTTGAGCATCTATCAAGACTCAAGTTCACTTTAAACCTCAATAGGAACTCATATATACAATCCATTGTCAAAGGTGCTGGATAAAGATGTCCACTGACTGTACTGCTCCAAAAGTACTGAAGTTTTTCTACCATGCTTTAGTTTAATCTTTACAAGAATCAAATTAGACCAAAAACAGAGCATTATTGCTATATCTGGACTGGAGTTGCCCAATCCTCACTTTCCAGCCCTGAGTTGAAATTCATATACACAGCCTTGTAGGGGGAAAATATATTTTCTACCCTACAGCCTCTTTCCCCACAGATGCAGTGTCACAAGCCGATCACTCTACTATTTCCATGGAAAATATTCAGCTGAGTTCCATTTTTTAGTTCAACCAATTTAGACCTTTACATCTAATGTTGGCTATGCTACATCCATGAAGTAAAACCCCCTCACCCTCCTCCCTATTTCAAATCTAATGAGGAAATTCCAATCAGACAACTTTTTCCATTCAGCTATGTTGTGGAAAAGACTCCTGCCTGAATGCTTTCACAAACACTACAATCTGACCTCTTGACTTCTTCTCCATATCCACATAATCCTCACTGGCTAATCTTAAATTCATATCACACACCTCATTCAGTAACTCTCTACCTTGGATGGCTCTTGTGTCTTGTATTGGGTGAACAATATTAGAAAAAATATAATGTGAGATATTTTAGGGAACCATAATGACAGCAAGGGAGGACAGAACAAAAGAATGCTGTCATGTGTGACACTTGAAGAAGCAGTTAAGATGTCATAAATTCTATTGACATTTCTGCCCTGTTCAGGATTGAAAAAACACAGTAGATTGACACTGACCTAATTTCTCACTTAACTACTACCCCTATCATGGTCTTACTTTATAAACTACCGAAATGGACATTTCTCCAGATTACCACCAATATTAGCCTTCTTAATAAACCTTTTTTTGTTACACCAAATACCAAAGGACTCATTCTTCACTCTAAAGAAAATAAATAAAAATATATTATTTATTTTAACCCTTTTATTCTCTAAGTTTCTGATAAAATAGTTATCCTATTATCTATCCACACTGGTGACATTCCGATGTTGAACGCATTTGCCATACTTTATTGTGTTTTCTAGCTTTATATTTAGCTTTACTTCTAGCTTGCTTTTTTATATACGGTGAGGTCTTCTTTTATAGCTAAAATGCTTTGTAATGTACTGATAGCTAGCTTTAAACAATTACATGCTTAAATATAGTGTAAAACTTTTTTTTCGGTTTATGCTTTGCTGACAGAGTTGGTGCATATGATCGTGTGTCTTTTCAGTAATTATGACATAGCTGATGGATTCTTAGATCTATAGCTAGGAATCATTAATAGTAACCATAAAATTTGGGTTGCTGGGAAACTCTTCCAAAAAGGCAAATTAAACGAAGAGAGTCAAGTCCATGCCTTGATTCTGTGAAAACTGGAAAGCTGATGGAACTGAGTAAATTTATTGACACACCCAACGTACAAAAAAAAGGTGTATGGAGATCCTACATAAAAAAAGTCACTATGTCATAGTCTGCTTTGGTGGAGAGGCAAAGTGACATTTTTTTTAAACATATTTTGGAGTAAGTTTGGGGCACACGTTCAAGCAAGAAGCTGAATTGGATGCTTGATAAGAACTGAACACTCGAACTCACAGACTGTGTTTCTCTCTCTTGTGTGTAGAGGGCGTGACGATCAGTGCGTGACGTAGGACGCAAGTGTTGTAAGAAGGAAGTATGGCGGCGGTGATGTGGGTCTTGGCCGCCTCGCTCCTCTATTCTTTCAGTTCACGATTAAGTTTCAGCTCTGTCCATGATATTTCGATTATACCTTTATCATATCTTTCGGCAGTGTAGTGAGTAAAAATTATTGTCTTTTAAGCCGATCGCCATTAAGAAAACTTGTTTTCGACGACACGGTTTGTTTTGTTGTCAGTTCTATACACCGACCATATCACAAGAAGAATCTCCCTCCGTCATCTTCCTTTTTCTTAGGCTAGTTTTGTCAATATTTTATTTGCATACTTAGACAGAGCATACCCTTTATGTAGAGAAAAGAGTGAGGATAAACAATATATTTAATATAAATCGCCTGTCATGTCTCAGTTTGGGAGAGATTTAGATAATTTCAGCGCATGTCGGACTGTACGCATAATCGGTTCAGAATGTGTGGAAAACTACACAGTAAGTAATTATTTATTTTTTATTTTAAAAAGATTAAGAAAAGAAAACATTCATCGTCTTTTTGTTTTTATTTCTTCTTTATTTTGCATAAATTTTTTGTCCAGACAGGTCTTTCTTTGTTTGAATCTACCACTTCCACTCATTAAAATTTGCAAAGTGTCAGTTATGCAATTTTTGGAAACCTGTTTTAGTTTTCATGTTTACCCTCTCGAGGTCGTCCTCTTCATGAGGGATTTTTTATCTTTTAATCAATCTAACTATCTTTTAAGTTTTAATTCATTCATTATAAGTAAAAAGAAAAAAAAACTTGTCTCTTTTTCTGGTGTTTTTTTTTTTATTTTATTTTTAACTAGCTTTCAAAATATGTGCCAACCAAATCTGAAAAAAATCGAACGCATTGTAGACTAAATAACAAAGATTTGATAAAAATAAAATTGCATCGTCCTAGAATTTTAATAATTATTTAAAAGAAATAATTGCATAATTTAATTAACAGTAAGAAAAATATCAGGAAATTAATTTCTGATTCATTCTAAAATTCTCTGACATTTATTGATCAGTTTAAAACATTAACAATAAAAAAGTAATATTTTTATTTTATTTATCACTTAAATTTCAAAGACATTCCAGTGAGTGAGTCTCTCTACAAAATAAAAATTAAGTTTTGTTTTTAAACTTCGTTATTCTTTTTTTTATTTTTTAATTTCATAGACCTGGAATTTTAAATAGTATTAAAAAAAGACCAACTAGAAAGAAAAGGTTGTCTTTTACTTATCAAATCATAAAAAAATTCCATAAGAAATGAAAATAAATATTGTAAGATCGCAACTTCATTTTCCTTTTAATTTTAAACAAATTACTTAAATAAATCAGTGTTAAGCATAAATATTTATTTTTAAAGGTATTTTTTAAAAAAAAGAAGAAAAGCTTTGCTTTATTGTAGAAAAGGTTGATTAAAAATTAAATTCTCTAAATCTAATTTTATTTTATTTTTGTCATGTCACAATCTTTATCTTAAATCTAAAAAAAAAACTACAAAAAATTTAATACTTTTTTCAAAGTAAAAGTAGCTTTCTTTTTTTATTTAAAATTTTTGACAGCCTTTAAAAACCAAACATAAATGATTAGTCACTTTTAAGTTTTAATGCAAGGATAACATATTTTTTTTAGCCAACTTGCAAACAGAACGACTTCCGACAACAGAGTCGTGCGATTTTATTTACTGATATTTTTTGCCAATGATTGTCATTAAAAAAATAATAATAATAACGCCATATTTTCCACTTTTATAGAAAAATGTCCTGTTTTTGTGTCTGGATTTTGTTTCTTTAAAGGTGTTATCATCTAATTTGTTGATTTGTAATTAACAGAAAATGAATCGGATTTTTATTCTCTGACCTTTTAATCTATATTTCTTTCTATAAATGAATGAAAAATAAGAAAATAATTCATTTGTTTTTCTTTCTCCAATGAGAGAAAAATATAAAAATGGCGGCTGAATTGAGTTGAAACTTTTTTTTTTAACTTCAAAACAAAAGCTTGTTGCTATATTTTCTATCATTTCATATTTATTTGCAACATTTATTATTAAAATAATTCTATTCTTCTTGTCACACTACCACAATTCAAATAATCATTTTTTCTCGTTTTTCTTTCTTTTATTCTTTATAAACACATCTAAATTGTATATTTTTATTGTTTTTGTTTAACCAAGTCGATTGTGTAAACAAACGACATGTGTTCGGTCAGTCACTCGTCTGGATTTATATTTTATTTATCTACAATCGATCATGGTAATGTAAATTATCTAGCTACCTATCTACCTACATTGGTACTTTTTATTATTTGGGAACTCGTATTTGAATTTGTTGTTTTTAAAAGGAATGAACTAAAACCCAACTGAAGCTGTTATTTTTTATTTTTTAAAATCTTCCTGTGGTACATACTGTAAGACAGTAAGAAGAACCTTATTTTTACGTTTGGTTTGGAGAAGAAAAAACCAAATTTCCATGGTCGAAAACAAGAAAATTCGATTAATATTATCTTATTTTGAGAACTGGTCCCAAGTAAAATCCATTTTTATTTTTATTACTTTTTTGAGCTAATAATTATTATGAGTGACAGTTTTGTGATCTAAATAATAATATTCGTATTTTCGTTTATTTATTTTAAATTTCAACTCAAATGGCATGACACAAGTTGATTTGGGAACAGATTTCAAAGTATAGGCAATTAAATTCTATCAACAAAAGTAAAACCAATTTCTTCCCAGTATAGAAACATGAAATTCTAAGGTTTGCTTTGATAAATCAAATCCTCTTCTGAGATTTAAATTTTTGTGATAAGTTTTGTTTTTTTTATATGAAAAAAAAAAAGATGCCACTGATCATTAAGTAATCTTCAGGTTTATTAAACAAATCAAGAGAGAGGTTTATGTTTCTGTCAATGCAAACCAGGAAATGGTAGTAAACAATAAATTTTATTTTGTACAGCTAATAAAGAAAGTACATCTGAAGAAGGCAGCTATAGAATGGATTGACTGAAATATTGAGATGAAGTATGATTAACAACTCTTGAAAATAACAATGATTTTTCTTAAAATTATAGAAAATATTCAAGGAGTTTAAACTACTGAGTTAGTTCTTGTTATATTTTTCTTGTTTATGGTTGCTGTATTTTAAATTAAAGCTTTCCAAACAAACTTCCCTCTCTATTCTTATGGATTGGATATAAAAAGTTGACCATTAAGAAGAATTGGTCAAAGCAATGTGGTAGCAACTGGAACAGAATGAGATCAATAATTCAAACAATACTTGTAATGAATTACAAACCTCAATCAGTTCTTTTCTCTTATGATTTAGACATTTTATTTCATGGGCTTTCATTTGATAAAGAAAATCTCCATTGTTCAAATGGAGATTTTCCAAAAACTCAGCTGAAAAAGGAAAAACATTCTGAATTCAAACAATTTGTATCATTTTTAGTTTCATGAGAGTTATTAAATCGGTATCCAACTTGTGACTTCAAATTCTATTTGTTCTGTTCATTAGTTTACGACTGAGCTTTTTAATTTATAGCAGATTAGGTTATTATTTGTAGCATATTGAGAGCTGTTTTATTTTTAACTCCATTGTTGCAGTTCATTGAAATACACTCATTGACCAGAAACTCATTGATTTGAAACTTTTTTCAGATTTTAAAGCTTCCTATCACTTTCACTTTATTTCCAATTCATTATTTTGTGCCAGCTGTGCACACAAACAGAACAATTCTTGAAATTGAAGCCACTTTTTGTCATTCTTTTCTAACCTTTTCCAAAGAGAAAAGAACCTGAATTAAAAACTTCCTCTTGCTAATAGCTCGTTCTAGATTTTCCCACCTCATAGGTTGAGGCTAATTTTTACTTGTGTATGTAGCACTTAGTGACCTTTCTTCAGAGGATGAACTGGCTCATTTGAGAAATTTTTATTTACTTAGCATGTTTAGTTAGGATTTAAGTATTGACTAACTTTTTCCTACTCTTTTCTTCACAGTAGGCTCTTAATATTTATACATTTAGAAAAACAGTCTATAATAATAATGACTTGTGATAAAGCACTTCAAGATGATCAATGTTGTTGAAAACAATCCTTGGAACATAACTTTTGTGCTTAGGGGAAGTTGTAGTTCATAAGTGGCAAAGAGTCAAAAATATCAACTTTAGCATTTAAATTTGGATGAGGTTGAAAAAGCCATTAGTATATAACCGTCTCCTCCTCAGAATTGATGCCATTAAAGCATTGCATAGCAATTTTAACTATAAATTAGGTACAGTGGGTTTTACTAAGGAATAAGCACCTATATGTGTGTGTGTGTGTGTGTGTGTGTGTGTTACAATTTCGATTGATGAATTGATTTTTTTTTTCTTCGTATATTAATATCCCTCCCCCATCTATATTGCAGTCATGAAATAGTTGGATAATTAGGAGGTTGAGAAACAACAGGATAAGATTTTCAAAGTAGCTCGTCGTCCCCACACAAGTTAGGGAAGCATATAAAAAAAATGAGTTGTGTAGAGCAAGAAGAGCTGGTTTAAAAGGAGAAAGTTTGGACTTCCCGAGTGCTTGATTCCTCTGATGACCTTTGTGCACAAGGCAAAAGTGCATCCTATAATGAACTGTACAAATACATTTGTTGACACATTCATAGCCAATGTGTAAACAAATTGAGGAAATGTTGATAGAAAGGTAAAAAAAAAAAATGTGTCCATCATCAACCTCAGGGGAGCATGTTTGCAAGATCCTACTCATGAATCATTGTAACTATTTCAGTCAGTTATCTGAAAATGGAATAACGAGCATCATCGCCCCAGATATATCAAAGGCCTTTGATGAGGTGTGATATTGGGGGCTGCTATAGAATATCTGAAAGGACTTTTTCAGTTATCAAGTCCTTCCCAACAAGTAGGTCCCTGAAGATCATTATTATTAATGACCAGTCATCAGAAGCCCATAAGATCAATGTTTGTATTTCTTGGGGTTCTCTCTTTGGTCCTACTTTCTTTCTACTCTATATAAATGATCTGTTTACTGTGATCATTAGTGAATATCTATGGGATGATACAACAGTTTATAGGTGCACCTTCAAAAATCTGGATGATCAGAACCTAGTAACTCCCCTATCCTAGCCCAGGTGACTCAATTGATGGGTGGGGGACTGGCTTGTAAAATTCAATACAGCTACAAAAAACAAACCCGTAATGTTCCACCACATCCAAGCGGATTTTGAACTTTCACTTATCATAATGGACGAGTGTTCTCTTAAAGAGACTCCTTGCCTTGAACATCTCTTGGGAATCAGCTTCTCCCCTGGCCTCAAGTGGAACTCGTGTATCTGAATGCTTGAAAAAATGTTTGGTTCATTGTACTGCTCCAGTAAGTGTCTGACTCACCCTGCTATACTCTATCTTTACAAGAGCCAGATAAGAACAAAAATGGAGTATTATTACCATATCTGAACTGAAGCTGCCAAATCCTCAGTTGCCTGTCTTGATAGAATTCAAAATCATCTATGCAGCCTTGTGGGCGATGAATTATTTACTACCCTACAATCCTTTTCTTACAGACAAAATATTGTGAGCCTCTTGCTACTCTATTACTATTTCCTTGACAAGTGTGCTGACAAGCTACTTTCTTTGGTTCCACTGGCCCTAACTTTTGCAGTTGTGACCTGCAAGGATGAACCATCCTGATTCCCTTTATATACAAGAAGTAATTTCCATTTGGACAATCTTTGATTTCGTAGAATTAAAGCATCAAATATGTAAAATATTCAAGGAATCTCTGTATTGCCCGACTTCACTTTTGGGGCATGTCGTATCATGCCAGGCATATTGCTTCACTTTTGGGGCATGTGATATCATGCCTGGCTTCTTCTTAATTGTCAAAGATGTGCGAATGGTATAATGGATAGCAACTCAGAATGAGAAATCTGAGAGATGTGTTTGAATTCCAGTTGAGTTCAGCTTATGGCTATATCTTGTTAAAATATTGGTTCTGATATGATCACCAAAGTTAAGCAATTTTGTGCCTGGTCAGTACCTCGATAGGTGCTGTAAGTTTGGATGTCTGGGTTTTATAATGGATAACAGCTTGGAATTGGAGAGCCGAGTTCCAATTCCAGTTAGGTTCATTATATTCACTTGTGAAATGTATGAATCCACCTCTACTCACCCCAGCTATGTTTTAATTAGTAAGACTTTTATCAGTAAAACATTATTATCTCCCCCTCCACAAATTATTACAAACCAAAAATGTTTTCTGGCTTTAAATAATCTGTAAAAAAAACAACAAATCAATCAATCCACTTGTGTTCATTACATTCACTTATTCACAAATACCCTTGGGAAATGTTGGAATTCATCTCCTCCCCTTAGCTAAGGGTTAAATAGTATAGCTTATATATGAAAAAATATCATTATTTAAAAAAAATTTAATACAATATTTATTCACAAAAAAATTATTCTTACAATCCAAAATATGTTTTGGTTTTAAATACCCAACTAAGGGTTGATAAGCCATAAAAAATCCAATCAATCAAATTATTGATTGTTAAGCTTTCAATGAGTGGCATTTGAAAAGTCATTTATCTTGAAAATAGGCTTTCAAATGTATTCAGGTATACATTGATGTCAATATATTTCTTTAATTTCAGTGTCGAGCACAAATTTAACCTTTTTAACTTCAGTTTCAGCAATAAATGAATATATAAATTATTGTTTTTATTTAAATAAATATCTCAAATTGTATGCCAAACTTTTTTTATTGTCTAAATATTTATGTTATTATTAAGAGGAAAGACCAAAGTATTATTTTAATATATTTTTAACATTTTTAATCATTAATCAGATTTTTTTATAAATAAAAATCCTACTCTTGTTTGTCAAATACTTATCATATATTGCATAACTTAAGTAAGATTTGTATGATATTTAAAAAAAGATTTTGTTGGAGGACTGTTCAAATGTTACATTGCTTAATTCTTATGTACAAACATACTGACAGAAAATTTTAACACCCTGAATGGATGATATCAATGTTGATAGCAGAGATATTCTGATAAATGTTTTAAAGTCATCTGTTCACAATTTGTGTCTTTAGGACAGTGATACAAATGTTACAATAAGATACAGTATGCTGAGAGAGAGAGAGTTCAACAAAAAGCAAGTGTCGTTCTATGCAAGCAGGCAGACACACATATACACACACACACACACAAAAAGAAAAACCAGAACCGTTGGTGAAACCAACAGACAACTTGCCAAAAGATCTAAATACCCTTAAACAAGATAAAATTAATAAAACAAGGACAGCAAAAAGGAAAAGACCTCAAGGCAAACACCTATCTACTCAGTAAAGTGCTCAATGCCTAGATTACCTAGACAGCAAAAATGCTTGACAATGTTAATTCCTATGAAAGGATGGCCTTAGTCGTAAGCTAAGTTTCATGTTCTTACGATCTTCAGGTGATTTGAACACGCGCGCACACACACACACACACACACACACACACACACACACATATATTGTTAGAGATATTTGTGAGGGTTTGGATTGTGGATCTTTGAGGGTTGATTTTGAGAATTGTTGTGCATATTGGACATCATATGTTAGTGGTGTTTTAATGCTGACAGCAGTTGTCAAATAAACATCTACCCATAGAATGAGTTTGGGATGGCCACATAGCCCAGGCACACACCAAGGTTAACACATAGTAAGGGCAACAGAGGCAGATTGCATAATGTTCACAGATCAGAGCAAATGTCATCTCAGATGTGTCAACTGTTGGAAATTGTTTACTTGTTTGACTATAAACATTCATACCTCTAGCCAGACTTCCATTTAGGTCACAACAAATGTCATACTTGTCAAGAAAGTGTGTGGGTGTCACAAGAGGGTCCCCAGGTAGGGGAAGGTCAAAAGTAGAATCTACTGCCAGTGATGGTCATTTGTATGTGAAACATTGGACTGAGTGGGGGCACAACTTCCAGAGTGAATTCACACACAACACATAAGCTCAGTCTCTGTCTTCTCATTGAACATTTATGGGACAACACTTGACTCTTGCTGCCAGAAGCCCACCTGCAACTCTTGCTGCAAGAAGCTTGAAATGATATATCCCAGGATGGCATTTACCATATGTATTATCATATGCATGTGAGAGTACAGGCTTGTGTTAATGCCCTACACTGTTAATATGTGGCCAGAGACCTTTTTTAACACTTATTTTGGAACCAATGTGTGTATTGATCAGTTTAAGTATATTCAATACTTTGCTAAAAAAAAAGAGCATACCCTAATGAAAAAAGGCCCCAAACTTGATTAAACAATTTTTTATTGTCTAAATGTTTATTATTAACAAGAAAGACCAAAGTATTTTTTTAATATTTTTCAAATTTTTTTAATCCTTTCTAGCACGTCCGAAATCTTAGTTAAAAATCTTGTTTCATTTTGAGTCTTCAAAATTTACATAAAGTCGATCATGTCAGCCATTTCTGACAGTTCTGTAAACAAAAGTGAAATTCTTCATTTAAAAATCTTGTAAAATTCAATTATACTTTTTTCAAAAGTTATTTTAGAAAAATTAGATTTAAAGTATACTTAATGTAATTTGAAACAAACTTTACTTAATTTCTTTAGCAGAAAAAATTTAGTTGCAAATAAGAGAAGTATGTCTAAGCGTGTTGATTGGTTTCGGAGGTGTTATTTGATGTTTATGTATTGATAACTAACGTCAGGGCAATTTATCAGACAGAAGAGCAAAAGTGAGAGTATTTTTTTAATTTTAAGTGAACCAGCTTATGTAACTATAAAGTAATTCTTAAAAATTAAATGCTTTTTATTGTATTTTTTTTTGTACTTTTTTAACGAAGATATGTCCAAAGCCTGCACTGTTTCCGTATTTAAAAATTGGATCTAAAATAAAAAAAAAATTAATAATTGCAGTATATCTCTCACTGAAAAAGAAAAAATTGATTATATTTTTAAAAAATCAAAGGAAAATATTTAGTGAAATATGTAAAAAAAAAAAAAAAAAAAACATTTTTGAAAATGCGACAATGATGGTTGGTCATTCAGAGAATTTGATATGAAATCAATGCAATTTATGAAGCCAGATACTCGCTATCAGTAGAAACAACTCTTAAAACACAGGACATTATTTCTGAATTGTGCCTTTGCAGTTTTGCCAGAAATGTTTTTAATACATTTTTGGCATATTAAAAAAATATTGTAAAACTTGAAATGCTTCGCATATTGTAATAAGCTTTTAAATTTATGATCTGTAAAAATAAATCTTTTAATAAGAGCATTTCCTGAGATGTACATATTTAAACTCAATTTTAAAATATTTAACAACTTTATCACATTTTGTATTTTAAAATTGAACAAAAAAAAAAAAAGAACATTTCTTGTAAAAATTCATTTTTCATCAAAAAAATATTTTGGCTTCAGACAAAAATGTCCTTTTTATATATATATATATATATATATATATATATATATTGAAAAAAAATTGATTTATATTTTTCAAAATCTTCTGCATTTAATTAAAAAATTACAGATGCACATATTTGAGTTTTCAAGTTTTCATAAAATCAAGAAAGGGTGGAGGTGTAACAGATGTAAAAACAATAAAAAAACAAACATTTCTAAAATAATTTCATTCATTTTTGAATAAGTTCTGAAAGTATCATTAAAATCCAACAATTTGATTTTTGCAAGAATTTCCAAATTATTGTTTTTCAACTGAAGAAAGCGCTAAAAAGAACTTATGCTAAATATTACATGACTACTGGCATAAAAAACACAACAAGATTTTCAACCAAAATTTCAGAAAGGAATAAAAAATTTTAAAAAAACAATTAAAAAATACTTTGGTCTTTCCTCTTATTAATAATATAATGATAAAACTTTGTTTTTATTAAGTTTGGGTCCTTTTTTCATCATTCTATACTGTTCTTTTGGCGAATTATTAAACATACCTTATATATATATATATATATATATATATATATATATATATATATATATATATATATATATATATATATACTTAGACCGTATCTTTTGAATTTTACTGTGGGGTTAAAATCTTTGTCAAATGGAAAATTTTTAAATGTTTTTATTTTATTCAACTTCATTTGTTTTGAAAATGCTTGTCAACAAATAATAACAAGAATAATGAACCGTGTTTAAATGCTTACTGTTTTAATATATTTTGATAGGTTGAACTTGAACAGAAACAAGGTTCATTTAATTAATCAGATGCCCAAAATAACTTTTATGAACTGGCTGGATCATATGCTATTTTGCACTTGACATGGCATTTAGATACATATATTGTATCTTAGTCTATTGTATTTTCAACCTGATTATTTCTCCATGCTTTTCAGGTGTACATAATAGAAGTGACTATTGGACCATACACATGGACAGTCAAACATCGATATAGCGATTTCCATGATTTGCACGATAAGGTAAGCAATTAAATTCATTAGCATTTTTGGTTCTATTATTGGTAGCTTCTTTTTTTGTTTAGCTATCTGCTTGTATAACTCTCTTGTGTTTATATATTATAATAGATTTTGATTCCATGAGTTTGCTATATCTCAGTCTTTTCTATGTTTGTAAACATTACTAAAACGGTTCAAATCAGCTATAGTTTGTTTATTATTTGTCAACATTAAATCAAATGGTGTTTAGCACCACAAGACCACTACTAGAGTTATTGTTATTTACCAGAAATAGATATTCATGTTTGAAATATATAAGAAGACAAACCTGTAGTAGGCCGTGATGAATTGATTGTGAATAGGAAAAAAAAAAAACAAGTTTCCATTATTTACATTTGGACTATTGTCTTTATCTTTGTTGTTTTCACAACATTTTGGATATTGTCCATCCTGAGTATGATGATAAACTACATCCAGCAACAAGGTCTTTGATTCGGAGGTTTTGAGGAGCATGAAACCACCTCTTAATTGCTATTGTTCCCAAGTACACCCTGACTTGGGTTGGTAGTATTTGTTAGTGACCCAGCTATGGGCAAATACTTAACCCCCCAAACTGGGGTTAAAATATGATGACAGTATAAAAGATTTTATTGCAAAAATACCAGCAATATATTTTCATAGTTAAAAAAAAAAAATTATCAGCAATACATTTCTGTAAGGAAAAAAACAATATTACTAACAATACATTTTTTGTAAAAGAAATTACTAATGCTTACAAGAGAATTAAATTTTGGCATTAAACGACCCATAAGGAGTTGATATGCCACTAAACAAGTAAACAAAAAAAAAACCTGGATGCTGTGTTCTCCACCCTTTGTCAGGTGTATGACAATCCAGGTAAGCTATGAGGAATTTTAAACTGGATCCATTATTTAATTTATGGAGATGGGTTGTTCTCATTCTACTGCCTCTGTCTAGGGATCTCTTGTCTAGTTCTTATTTTTAGTACTGCTCAGTTATTGCTCACCATGTTTCTACTGAGCCCAAGTACACATTGCATGGTCCAGGGATTGAACTTGCAATTAGAATAAAAGCAAGGACAACAGGTCCTTGAAGGTTACCTGGATCGACATACACCTGATGAAGGCTAAAAGGTACAATAGCCAAAGTGTTATAATAACCACCCTAACCCTTATTCCTCATTAATTCAGACAGAAATTGACTTTACATATTTAATATACTGTTTTCAACTTCTGAGAAAAAATGTCTTATTTTATCTTTCCTTGTAGCTGTGCATGACAATATATTTGTTTAGTTCTTTGTATGAATGCCTTTTGGAACTTAGTTTTATCAGTTTTCTTTCAAATTCTATTCTTTCAGCTTGTTTCGACATTTAAAATTGACAAGAGTCTGCTTCCGCCCAAAAAGTTATTTGGAAACCAATCAGAGGCTTTTATTAAAAAGCGACAAAATGATCTTGAAGTTTACCTGCAGACAATATTGTACTATTTGGCACAGAAAATACCTCCTATCTTAGCATACTTCCTGGATTTTCATAAATATGTAAGTTGAATTACATAACATATTAAAAACTAATGCACATTTTTTCTTTCTTTTTTGTTATATAAAAGACAATAGGAAAACTCTAATAGTTGCTGACATGCTACATCTGATGTGGACTTTTTCAAGTCAAAAATTGAAATGAATTTATTAAATAAAGTAACAAATAATAGCAAAACAAAAATTAGCAACTGGAAGAATTTAGAAAATGCTATTTTCATACTGTTAACTGAAAAATTGCGTCAACTACTGTCATGTGTGGAGATATTGTTTTTATTGCTGTGTTGATGGATTCAACCCTTTTCTTTTGATTTCTTGATACTGTTGTATACGTTTGTTTGGGAGAGTAGTAATTCTGTTAAGGAAGGTGAAAAAAGAAAATATCTCACTCCGAAGGAAAATCCTCAAGAGTGACGCCATTGAATATTACCCAAATATTAATCTATGCCCAGGCTTTTTCCCTATTTCACCTTTTTTAACTACTTCTCTCCCAAACAAACATACATTTTGTTTTGTTATTATTAGTTACTTTGTTTAATAAATTCATTTTGTTTTTTGCCTTGAAAAAGTCCACATTGGACAAAACATGTCAGCAACTATTACAGTTTTCCTATTGTTTTTTACATTTATAAATATTGTCTTTTTCTACAGGTTAACTCTGAGAAATTTTGCATATATATATATATATATATATATATATATATATATATGTGTGTGTGTGTGCTGTGTGTGTGATGTTCACTCTGTACAAATCTCAAGAGCCACTTGAGATAGTGGATTGCAAAGTTAGAAGCACAGCTTATAGGGATATGTGGGGAAGATAATGGTTAACCCTAGACTTGAACAGGTTAAGATTGTAGTGATTGGAGAAGCATCCTAATGACACCCTACACGTACGTACATCTATGGAAACAATTATGGTCAGTGATCAAAAAACTGTTTCCTTAATTATATATATATATATATATATATATATATATATATATATAAAGTAAAAGGTTTGTCACTTAGCTGATTGATGTTACCTTAAATAACATTGTCTGCTTATCTGTTACATTGTTTCTCTTTTCCACTATGAAATGATTTAGATGCTAGTCTCTATTGGTTTTGGATTTGAAGGCCTGAATCTTATTTCATGCTGTTGAGAATTTTTATTCAGAATTTGGGAATCTTCACTTACTTCACCAACCTAATCAGTCAGTTACGTGTCATGCGTGATACATGCTTAGGCGATCATGTATCTTTTGATACATGACTGAGAGAGGTAGATTTTTCCCGCAGTAGGTTGCCATTTCTTTCTGCAGTAGACCAGTCTGTCCTGCTATTTACCCATAGCTGGGGGAGGGGTAGAAGAAGAGGACCTTTCCCAAGGGTAAAAGCATGTAAGTGAATGTAATGGATTCGACTGGAATTTGAACTTGGCTCTTCCTATTCCGAAATCTGAGCCAGTATTCATTACTCCACCGTGCCTCCCATAAAACCTAATACTCTTTCATTTTAATATAAACTCTGCAGTTTCTATGCCTTACTAAAATTGAATGGGTTACATGTTGGTATCTGCTAGTATAAAATTTATTCTTTTCTGCTAAGTACCTGATTGAATAACAGGCACTTGATTGGTATTTATACTAATTGGTTAGATTTTCTGAACATGGTGATGGCATTCAGTGTTTTTTTTTTTTGTAGGCTTGTTATTTAAGACTGTTTCATGGCAATTTTAGCAGAAAGCTAATATTGGTAAAAAGAAATTAAGTTTTTTGTTCTTAATAAGCAAGTAAATGCTTTTACTTTTTAATACTAAAATATTTGTTCATCTTTGTGTCATCGTGAGAAACAAAATATCCAGTGAATATCATTATCTGATTTGTTTTCTGGTTGATGTGATAGTTTTCTAGATTTTTTTTTATAAATATTTTAAGGACAAGCATGTGCCAAGCATCAAACTGTTGTCCACTTCAAATTCACTCTAACAACTATGGTCTTGCAAATATGTATACCTTCTTTCCCTTGGTTGGCAAATTTTACCCATAAATCTTTTAAAACCTCTTGCTAAAAGCATTCTGAACTCGAAAGATGGCATGTTTTGACAAAGCTCAAAAAAATTAACAGATGTTAAGTGTAACTGACAAACATAAATATTGTGTAAAAGTAATATAATAATTTGATATAATTTTCAATTGTTTATTTTATTTCATTTATTATATATTTTATGATTATTTATTTGAAAATATATATCTATTGCTTATTATTATTTCTTTCATCTTTTTCCACGGTTACCAAGTTTTTATGTATTAGTATTTGTATAAACAAATGATTGTCTTATTTTTACTTTCTTATTTTGATTTCCTAAAGTTATATTTATCAACTTGCAATTTCTACTCTTGTTGAGAGAAATCACTGTTTTCATTGGTCAACTACCACCTGCCTCAAGTCAGGCGGCTCCTGGGCAGTAGGGTGCTGACCTGCACTGATCTGCCTGTTTCAGTGGAGGTGCCTGAAGTTTGTAGCTGCTAGCTTAACATGCAGATCAATAACCATGCACCAAACAAACAGCAAAATGGAAAAAAAACGAAGAATCCAGCTCTTTGTATCACAAGCTGCAATGTGCAAACCATGCACACAAGTCTATCTGATGACTCTCGCAAGACTGTAGTAATCTGTAGTGGATCTCTAAAGTAAGAACACTACACCTCCTTCTGTCAGGGGAGAAGGGTTGATGAATATAGGGATCATGGAGTTGGATTTACTGTCAGGAATACCCTGATCCATATGAGATTGTACCTCTAGAAAGAGGCACAGAGAGAATTCTCACCCATTACTTCTCTACATATAAAGGGCCCTTGTAAACTTTGTGTGCATCTATGGCACTAACATTCCAAGCCATGCTCAAAGTCAAAGACCAATTCCATGCTCAAGTTGACAACATTGTCAAGTGTATCCTATATCGTCATATAAACATATTTACCTTCTAGGAGACTTCAATACGAGGGTGGTGCTGATCAAGTTTAATAACCAAATGTGTTAGGTCACCATGGTATAGGGAAAATGAATAAAAATGTCCAGATACACTTAGAATTCTGCTGTTATCATAAACTGACAAACACTCATTTTCAGAACAGGGCTTGCCACAAATCATCCTGGAGATATCCAATGTCAAATCATTGGCACCAGCTGGACCTGGTCATCGCCAGATGCAACTCCATAAACAATGTCTATAACACCAGAGCTTACCAGGACACAGACTGCAACACCAACCACTCCCTGATCTCCTGAAAGATTAAGTTAAAACCTAAGAATCTTTATTATTTAAAGAAGAAATGCCACTTAAGAATTAACTCTAGCATATCTGCCTATCCAGATAAAAACCAGAAATTCTTAGAGAGGCTTATGAAGACCCTTCCCAGTGACTCATCACAATGATTGGAAGTCACCTATGATGGTGAAATTTCAATATTCTTCACTATTCAGAGTGGCATAAAACAAGGGATACGTTTTAGCACCAACTTTGGCATAATCTTTTCCATGTTATTGAGCTTTGTGTTCAGACAAGCTGCAGAAGGTGCATACTTACACACAAGAAGCAACAGCAAATTATTCAACTCTTCCTGCCTGTGGGCAAAGACCATGATGCATACAGTACTCCTCAGAGAAATGCTGTTTGTTGATGATGCAGCTCTGACTACATACACTGAACATGATTTTCAAAAGCTGGTTAGTCAGTTCAACCATGCCTGTAAGGAATTTGGGCTGACTATTAACATAAAAGAAACAAATGTCATAGATTAAGATGTTTCTGTTAGCATTGATGATGTGGTGCTTGAAGTCACCAGATCACTTCAGATATCTGAGTTCTATTATCACCAACAACCTATTGCCTGACTCCTGGGGTCTGCATCTTCTTCTTTGTCAATGTTGTCTTTGAAGGTTGGGCCACGTACATCATATGAATGATGGCTGTATACCAAAAGACATCATACATGGTGAGCTGGTCACTGGACATTGTCCAGTAGGATGTCACACACTAAATTTCAAAGACATTTACAAGAGCAACCTGGAATGCACAGGCATCAACTCTTGGTAGCTGGGAATAGCTAGCAGGTGATCACAGCTTTGCACCATGCTGTTCATGGAGGAGTCACAAAGGGCGGAAAAAAGCTGAAACCAACTGTTGGAAAACAAGAGAAGTAAGGAAGCATAGAGAGCAATGTCAGGCCTCCATTCCACATTCCAACTTCATCTGCCACACCTGCAGAAGAGAGTGTCATACAAAGATTAGTCTGTTAAGTCACTATAACTGCTGCTCACAAAAGAACAATATTTAACCAAAAAGGCTGTTACCATTATCTCGCAAGATAAATGAATGCATACTACTACTGCTACTATTTTTGAACTTCTGACTTTTGGTCATTCAAACAAGCCGCAGTAGATTTAAACTAATTTATTAACTATTTTTGAGGTTGGGATAGCAGGTAATTTTTTAATTGAAATCTTTAAAAAATTTTCTATAAATTTCACTTTATTAAGCTGGACCTGCAAATAGATTTAAAACAGTGTTTACTTCTTATAAGAACACATTTTGAAAATTGTAGGAAAAACATTACTATTTGACTGTCCCTAACTGTTTTGTGTCAATATCTTTTGTGGGGATATCACTTAATTGGGAAATCTTTTTTAAGATTAAAAAGAATACAAATTTCATTTTTCAAAGCATTAATGACTTTGATTTCAAAGTTTGTATAAAATCTATATTTCTGCTGGATTTGTAAGCAAGATTTTGACTCATTTGCATAATGAGTGTATAAAAAAAAAAACCTTATAATATTTTTTTTTTATCGTTAGTAATAACATCATTTGTTTCTCAGCTGTTTTGAAAACTTAATCTGTTTCATCAGTAAATTGAAACCTGGATCCAATTTTAATTAAGAAAATTTAATTTCCTTATTTTGACACTGAATTTAAATTTTATTATTTTTATTTTTTTAATATTAAAACTAATTTTATAA